GGGGGGGGGACCAATGAACCTCCAGCAGGCATCGTCAGGCCCAGCCCAGGTTCAACACCGCTTGACGAGATTGCATCTCGGAAAGCGGAGCCGTTGTCAAGATGGCAGGACGAAATTCTCAACAGCGAGCCACAGCTCAGGCTGCTAATCCCCAAGCGCAAAGGCCGCCCAACTTTGGTTGCGCCTTGCACACACTCGCATGGTGCGGTGCGTGGGGCTGGTGGGATGATGGCCCAACATGTGGGTTTCGCCGCACACTAAGCGGCTAGTATCCAAGGTTGAGCCGCACAGTGTGCATAGCAAGCGCCAACTCAACATATAACAAAGCACAGGGTGATTGTATGGCATTGGCCAATGCTTCTTGACTAGGGCTTGATTTTGTCACCCATATTGTATGATCACCTTTGATCATGCAAGCAGAGACAGGTACTCGTTTACCATGTGTTGAGCAGGGTCGCTGCCACCAAACAGCAAGTGTGAACGACCAGCGAGGGTGGCAGTTAGCAGTTTGCACAGCGCAGGGCAACCCAGCCCAAACCCATCTGTGAGGTACCCCTTGATAATTCAGAAAACCTGCACGGCTGGTCGACCAGTGCAGCACAACGCGGCTTGAACTCGGATGATGACGCAGAATGTGGGCAACCGAGAGGCACAAGGGTGTGGGCGTGTGTGCCTGCGCTTGCATGGGGTGGCGGCATGCTGTAGGAGACGGACATCGTTCAAGCCCAGGGAAAAGGGGGCGCCAGGGGCTACAGCAGGACGAGCTGAGCTCCGAAGCCCAGCCAGCCGAGCCCATCATGGGAGCATGTGCTGCACAGGGGCCTTGGAATGTGTCAACCGCGACCACATGGCCCTCTGCTTGACAAAGTTTCGCAAGCAGTCCGAGTACGGTATTACTTGCTTGTATAACTTGTACGCACGCGCTGTGAAGTTGTCGCAGATCCGTCCTTGCTTCGGTGGCAGTGTGTTTGTGTTCGCGTTATTGTGATGATATCGTGTACGTGATAGATCTGGTCGCCTCGCCAGCTAGGGGTAGGGTGCATCCAGATTGGTACCCTGGTGGGCAGCTGGGCACAAGCGCAGGCGGGTGCGTGCTGCTCCTGCTGCACACCGTGCTTCGAACACACCGGGCGCCATGGTGGAGCGGGCCCTGCTGCTGGAAGAGAGCCCTGCGCCAGCGCCGGGACATTCTTCTTCACAGGAGAACGCGCACCTCACCAGCCTCTCGACGGGTGAGCGCTGCTATTAGCCGGGCACGTGCAGGGCTCGGCGGGCGCGGGACCAAAGTACCGCGACCAATGGTGCCATCAGCATGCGCACCCTGGCGGAGCGCGCACTGGTCAAGGCGGCCTGGCAGCTGCGTTCTGCGGGTTCTGAATTCGCCCGCACGAGGCGCCTCGCTAGCGCTCTGCGCTTAGTCCTAAGCGCGCGCCGCCCGTCCGTCCCGCCCGGGGTACACCCCAACCGCGTGAGCCCTTGCTCGCGGCCGATTGGGCGAGGCGCCCCGCAGGTGTCCTTGTGCTACTGGTGCTCCTCTGGAGCCTGGTGGGCCACAGGGTGGCGGCGCGCAGCCCCCACCTGACAGAGGGCAGCGCCGCGTGCCTGCTGGGCCTGGCCACGGGGCTGGTGCTGCTGGTCGTGCACGCGGCGGGCGGGGCCGGCAGCGCGGTGGCGGCGCGCATGCTGTCATTCAACGCGGGAAGCTTTTTCACGTGAGCAGGACAGGAGGGGGGTTTGGGGAGTTGTGGGGTCAGAGGCCGAGGTGGACCCGATGAAGCAAGCAACTGCGTTTGACTGACGGCGAGCAGCGCGCGCCCCGGGACATCAGTATTGCGGCACCCTGCTTGACTTCGAAGAGGGCGCAGGCCCGGGCTGGAAACGTTTACGCGCACATGGGCAGCACACCGGCAGCCAGGTTGGCCTGCGAGCGCGGCTGGATGACCATTTGTTCAAGACCCCTTTGCTCAGTGCCGCGACGTACCCACGCTGCTCCCTTGCCCTTGTGCAGCTACCTGCTTCCGCCAATCATCTTCTACTGCGGCCTTTCTGTGGAGAAGCATAGGTTCTTTCTCAACCTGCCCTCTATCCTGCTGCTGGGGGTCATAGGGACCATGGCCTGCTTCGTCATCACAGGCAGGGCGGGAGGGGGGCACCAGCATGGGATTAGGATTAGGATTGTTACAAGATCCCGCGGTCGCCCGCTCCTGGAGCCATCCAGGCTCATGGGATGTAGCGTTGTGGCAGTCGCGTTGTGTGACTGGGACTCAAGTATGTAGGGGTGGGGGCGCCGTGGAGGCGGAGGTTGGGGTAGGTGTGGTTGGATACGGTTGGGGAGTCGGCAGGAGTTGAATTTCAAACAAGGCGGCGGCACCGCCAAAGGAGCACGGCGCCAGCAGCCAGCATGGGCGGGGTTGTGGGGGCCGCCACCTCAGGAGGTATCCCCACCAGCCCCTCCTCCTCCTAACCTCCCCTTCCCCCATCCCCGACCCCCCGGGGGCCCTTTCCAGGCATGTTCCTGTACTTGTTCCTGGGGTTCACCATGTTCAAGCTGCAGGTGCACCACGTTGGCAAGGCGATGGGGGGTGGGGAGGGAGTTGGCATGGCGCTTGGGTGCCCTGCACGTTCACGCTTCAGTAACGTTTTGACACTCTTGGTGCTCGCTGTCCTCCTTTTCCCACACAAGTTTTCTTCTTCTCAGTTATTCGTGTTAGGCACAGATTTGAGGGAGTGGCTTGTGTGATTGCTTCGTCACACCACCACTGTGCACCTTCCCATGCCTGTTCATTAATCTTCCCCCCCTCTCAAAGGATGCCCTGGCGATGGGCGCTATCTTTGCGGCAACAGACAGCGTTGCCACCCTGCAGGTGCTGGACGCCACCACCATGCCCTCACTCTTCTCCCTCGTCTTTGGAGGTGCGGGGGCGGCGCACAGCCGAGGCCGACGTCACACCCACCTGCCTGGCTGCGTGTCTGTGCAGTTGTGTCGAGGGTTGGGGCGACTGGCGCGGAGAGGCGTGCACCAAGCACCACAGCTGCGGCAGCAAGGCCGTGCGGATCTTGACGGGCAGGGCGTGGACAGCCTGATCAATCCCTGTGTGTCGCCACCCCCTTCCTCCCCTGCCAGAGGGTGTCATCAACGACGCCGTCAGCGTGGTGCTGCTGGGCGCCATCGACCGCTCCACCAAGGATGGCGCCTGGACGGGCGGCTTTGTGTTCAACTTTGCCTTCCTGCTGGTCTGCAGCTTCAGCCTGGGGGCACTGGTGGGGCTGGGCATCGCGTGGCTCCTCAAGACCACCACATTCTCGGGGCCACACCAGGTCGGGTGGCGTGGGGCACTTTTGGGCGGGGGGGGGGGCTTATGGACAGGAGTGGCCACCGAATGACGCTGCTGGGGCTGGGATGCGCACAGTTCGGAGGAGCAGATGAAGCCTTTTTTCACACCCCCACCCCCAGCTCACCCTGGCCCTGAGTTTCGCACCCGGCCTGATCGCCCTCATGCATGTGACTCAACTGTGGCTTCCAAGCGGTGCATGATTTCAACCTCAACCGACACCATTGTGTGCACACCGTCGCGCAGGTTTGACGGCAGTTGATCCACCAGCCACCCCGCTTCCCTCCTGCTCTGACC